CAATAGACTTTGGTTTCATAGGAACCTCCTTTTTCAAAAATTATATGTTTAGACATCATTCTGGGGATGCGTGCTTTTAAAGAATGGACTGAACCTTCAGGCACCAGGTTACTGACATTCCCAGTACCTAGAGTTTGGTGCCTGAATTCTCCTCCTCCAATACCAGCATGCCATTCCAGCCAACTGGTTTGTTGTGTTCTTCTAGGAGGTGGTTATAAATCAGGTTTATGAAGAGGAAACTCTCAAATTGTGCATTTTAATGGATTTATGATAAAGCCATCAAAGTGGAGGGTCCACATAGTAAAGGTAATAGGACAGTGTCACGTAAACACTAAATACAGTGCTTTCCACCTTCGTAAATCCTCAAGCCTGATGATTAAATGCTTCTGGTTATAAATTTTGCAAGCAAATTCTAGAAAGAAACTCAATTGTAAATAAGACACCAGCAGAAGCCATAAATTGCCCATAGGAGTCTCACCACACTCCAGAAAACTTTTGAGTATTTATTGTGAGGCAATGCTGTACTTCTTTCCTCGACAAATTTTTAAAACTTTCCTTCAATAATAAACTGAATTCCTGGTTAAAATAATGATGCAAACCCTTAGTGCTAAGTCTAGCATTACAATCTATTATTTTTGTGCCGAATACCTTCTTTGATTCACCCATTCATTTTACAGCATTTCTATCTCTGGCTTTAAGGTCTCCATAATGTCACTTTTTGTAGAGTCACGTGCTAGAAGTTCCTGCAACAGCCTAAGCTCCCCACAGGTATTTACAATCAAATTATTTTATTGCACGTGGGAACAATTAAGCATTTGGCCCTCAGCTGTAAACAATTACTATATATAATGACATTCATGGATTTTCTTAAATAGTCATGTATTCCTAACAACCCCTGTTCACATAAGTGAGATTGATGCATGTGTACTTTGTGTGTGTCCATGAGCAATTATATTCCCAAACAGAATATCAAGAGAGAGGCCTGACCTGGATGATACACTGACATTGTCTGGTACCATGTGGCCACCTGCAGTCATTATCTCTGACATTTTTTGTTTTCTTCCCACAGTCATTTTACTTATCTCCTGATTAAGATTGAAACCTATTAGTGTTCACAGCAAAAGGCAACATGAGTTTTAGATTCATTTTTAGGAGGTTGGGAGTGGCTTGGTCTAATGAACTGGTATTCGTGATCTGATTAGCAGAGAGCTGTAGCCTACAAGGAGAGATACCCAGATAATCCTTTGTCAGTTTCCAGTTGAGTGATTGGAAACTTTACTTCCTCCAACCTTAATTTCCATACTTTAAAACGTATATAGAGTTATCAAACCCATGTGACTATTATGAGTATCAAGTGGGACACATATTTAAAGAGAGGAATTTCGTGCAATATATATTTCTTGTCTCTCATGTGCTTTTCTTAGAAAAGCCCATAAGCTCTGGGAGCCTGTATTGAGAACATCTATTTAGTTGTCTGTAGTTTGGTGATGCATTTTGCTTTCAATAGATTCTTCTTTTCTTCAAGTGACAACCACAGGAGAAGCTCACAGCTGTTTTACTCATGTCCAGAAATAAGTCAAGTAGTCCCATTTGCAAGGGGACCTAACAGCTGTATCCAGCCTTTCTAGGAGGTCAGAACCAAAGCTGAGTGGTAATGTTTCAAGGGCAAAGCTCTAGATGTAAGGCATGATAAAACAAAACCTAAATGAGCCTGCACATATCTAGTGACAGATATACCATAGCTAGTCTCAATTATTCAAGCTTCCTTAGTCTTCTAGCTGGAGAAACATAATTCACCCCTACTCTCTTTATTCTACCCCCATATAATAGCAAAGAGCAAAGAAAACACACACCCCTTCCCCACCCCACCCCACCCCCCTTCTAAAGAAAAAGGGCTTTAGTAATCACTCAAGTTAAGAAGAGTTTCTTTAACACATGTGGAACTTTCAGATCTATTCAAAACAAGGTGTTAGCTTTGGAGGATGAAGTTTAAAAACACAAAACAAAACAAAACAAAAAAACATTTTGCAATACTTATGAGTGAGTTCCTTTCTTCCCTTTTGTTAGCATTTTGCTGGCAATGAGCCAGAGAAACAGCTGTTTAATTACCCAAGGCATCACAAACATATAACCCCTTAGGTAAGCTGTAATGGTATTCTAGAAGCAATAATACCAGGGTCAAAGGTAACAAAGAAAATTAATCTTCAAATAATCAAATCTCAACAGAACATCCTCGTGTACTGGAACTAACTAATATCTTGTTTAGGAAAATAGTCCCAAAATGTGGCTTTTGGACAAGGAACTGAAACTGTTTAGAGGTTAGATATCCTAATGTTTAACAGGCTACTATTTGGTATGCTGACTGGCTGGCTACCCTATGGTGTGGCAAATGTTTCTTAAGTGCAATTATGCAACATTTAAGCAAGATCTAAATGATACTATGTATTTCAGGTGAATAAGTCCAGCTGGAAATGTTAGCTGTGTTCTGATTACTAGGCTCCATGTGAAATTAAGGCCTTTTCAAACTGTACTTTTCACTTGCTATGTTTTGATACACGTGTTCTTGGAAAGCTTAAATTAGTTATGGTTTGACAATATTTAGCAATATAACCACCCTCCCCCCCTTTAAACCATTAAGGCTGTCTTCTTATATTATACGTTTAGCTTTTAATTTCAAAAATGACTATTAATAATTACCGTATTTAATTACACAAAAGAGATAATGTCTATTTTTTAATGTTAGAATGGAAATTTGCTGTACTTGTTTATGTAATAAAAGTTGCATAATTTTCTCATTTGGGATAGTTCATATTGTAAAAATAAAACTCAATGTGTTCCCTGGGAGTCATTTTCCTAAGTGGTTCATGGCACAGGGATCATTATTTTACGAAAAAGTCATCTGAGTATCATAAACTAAAATATCCACAGGTTGATCATTACACCACATTTAAAAAGAAAACACAACAGTAACAGCAAGATTGAGTTATTATCAAAACGTTAAAAGGAAAGTAAGCTCAAGTTTAAAACTCAGATATTTGATTCAATTTCTTCATGTTTTCTCTATGAACTAAAGACATTCAGCCTATGAGAATTTAAAAAGAGGAAACACTGTAGCTCAGTATGGAGGCAGGTTCTTCCTTTAACTGGCCACCACTGATGGGTTTTGTTTTAGAAGTAGGCAAAAATATTAAATGAAGATCTGCAAACCATAAAGGCTATCAATAGTACAATATGTATAGTACTCAAATGGCAAGAGACTTTCAAGGAAAAGATATGATCATTAAAGATACTATTTCAGCTACTTTTTAAGCACCAAAATAAATATATTTGCATATGTAATAAGGTATTTAATATTTCCAATACTTAACCTAGCATCAATTAGCTCAAATGCTTCTGCAATGAAATTGCTTATAACATAGTGCTGATTTTAATGAGCAACTAGGTTGAAAGCAACTGAAGATGAATAAAAGTTAATGTTGGATTTTGCAAATCCTCCAAGAAGAAAACTAAGTCTTAATTGAAGTATTCTTTATTGAAAAATAAAATGCTGAATTCTGGTCAGTTGTCATTTTCATCAGTACCTGAGACACTATGAGTCAAAAAACAAAACAAAACAAAAAAAAATCTGAAATGTGTGACTCATGTTTCATCATGCTGGCCAGTGTATGCTTGGAATTCCCAAAGAACTAACACAAAATGTTCCCCATTCAAAGGTGACTTGGAATTTACCAAATAGATAAAGCCAAGTAGTCATTAAAGACCTTAAATGTCATTGTCTGCTGTCTTCAGTGTGCCATTACATAGCCCTAGGAATCCCTTCAAATAACAATCAATGGAGGATGAAGAAGTCTCAGCACTTGAAAGTAACCAGGAAGGGAAGTCAACAGAATAATCTGGCTTGCTTGGGTTGGTTCAAGATGAGAGGTGGTGTCCACCCCTTTCCTCCTCATTTTTCCTCCCCTTATCCACCCCTCCTGCCCCCCCCCATACACAAACACATGCAAGACAGACCTATGGAAAGAAAGACCGGTGAAGAGGAAAGAAAGAGCTCCAGGGATCCCCTGCAGAATGTGTGCTGGGGAGACAAACCTCGCCCTATGGGATACAGTCTTGGAAACAGACTTAGGCTTTTACTTTGAAAATAAAAGAATGACAATGAAATTTGTGTGAGGTCTGTGTGAATCCAGTCCCAGATGTTTACAATGCTGTAGTACTATGCCTCTGCAATATGAGAGGTTTCAGAAGAAACAGTACAAGACACCACAAAGCAGTGCATATGCTATTGACAATGGGCATCATGTTACCAAGAGAGAAGGCAGGCAACAGACAAAATAGCAGTGGTGCTTCCCGAGAAGCTAACTTCATGGACTGCAATCACTCAAACCAAAACAAGGGACCCAAAAGGAGAGAAAAAAAAATATCCAAAACTAGGGGAAAAAAAAAAAAAAAACTCTTTTGGCTTCTATCTAGAAGTGGTGGAGCAAAGGATGGGGGGCCAGGAGACCGTGGAAGTGAGTCTTCATCCTTAAAGGTCCCATAAAGCCCCTATAATTGACAGTGGATAATTATTTTCAGCTTTAGGAGCCTGTCCCAAAACTCTTCAGATTGCCAGCAAAAGGAAACAAAATGTGTTTACTTGAGCCATTTCCAGAAGGGAGGGAAAGGAGACCTTTGGATGAGATGGGGGGGAAGGTATTGGAGGCAGAATGGGACTTCTCCTAGCAGCAACAACTCTAGGGCACCGGGAGTGGTCCTGTGAGTGACAAACTAGAGAGGTCTAGAATAGGGAGGCAAGGGATGCAGAGAAAGCTTGTATGGTGGAGGGGATCCCGTGGCACAATGTATACCCGGGAGAGGGGGGGGGGGCTGATTTAGTGTGAAAGTATTCCACTTCATCATTTTACAGGGGTTGGGGACATAAATATTTAGCTGGCCACATCTGGAACAGATTCTGCCCCCCCTCCTCGCGTGGGGTGGGGGAGCACGCATTTGTTACTTACTGTACGGACAGTTTTCCTTCTTGGTACCGCTGACCTTTCCATTCTTCTCAATCTTGAGAAAGTACTTGGTGAAGGAGAACAGCTTTCTCCAGCGGACATCTCCTTGGAGGTGATTGTAGCTCCGCACATGCCTCCCTGCACTGGAAGGAGAGGACAAGGAGGAGGAGGAAGAGGAGTTGGTGGCCTCCGGTGACACCATGTCCTGACCAGGAGCTTGGCAGGTGACAGGAACTGAAGACACCAAGAAGAGCAACAAGAAGCAGCAGCAGCAGCTCGGCAGGTGGGGAAAGGCTGAGGCACAATGTGTCAGTACCCATTTCCACATTGTACTGAAACTCTGGGCGCTGGAAATTGTCTCATCAGAAGGAACATACTGGAAGGGTAAGACCTGGTGCGAGGCAAAGAGACAGCTGGAGGTGGTGGCTACTGGTTAGCTCCCTCCGGGTACGGATCTGGCCAGAAGCGAATGCACCAACATCCATAACTCCTCGGAAGGGCCGGCTGCCTGTCCTCGCTCCGTTTTCAGATCCGCTGCCTGTGTCTCTCCAGTCTCCGGGTGAACAGTGGACGTGGGTGGCCGCGGCAGTAGGAACTAGTGGTGTGGGTCACCAGCGCTCCGCTCCGCTCCGCTCCCCCCCACCCCACCCCACCCCACGGGTTACTTTGTTCTCTTCTTCACTCCTTTCTTCACCATGTTAGATGCAAAAGAGGTCTGAAAAACAGATGACAGCACGATGAACAAAACCCAAAGTGGGTGGGGTGGGGGTGCGGGAAGACATCTGCGTCCCTCTGCGGTTGGCACCTTCTGGTCCCTCTCTGCAGAGTCCCAGCCTGCTGGCCACTTAAAAAGTTCTCTTTGGAGTTGTCAGGGCTGGAGGCAGCTGCCCAGTTGTTTTCTTCTTCTCCTTCTTCTTCTTCCTTTCTCCTTTTGGTGGTGCCTGTTGATGTGAAGCCTCCCGAAAGCCACTTGTTTGGGGGGCGGCTGGCGGCTGGCGGCTGGTGTTTTGTTTGGCTCTACCCTCCACCTCCAAGTCCCTTGGAAAGACGCTTGTAAACAGGTTGAAGCCTGGAGTCTAAATGTCAGTGCTTTTCAGCCAGAGGTGGGCTCTAACTCTGCTGGTCAAACCTCATTTGCAGGGGTGGAGAAGGCGGGGGAGGGGGTCAAACGGCGGTGGGACATCTGAAACCCTAAGCTGCTGGGAACGCCAGGGAAAGGGGAGGGGGAAGGGGCCGAGAGGGAGGGGGGAGCCTGGGCGAGAGTTAGTGCGATGCCTTTGCTCTGAGCTGGGGGCTGCGGGTCCCTTCCTCGCAGCCTCCGTGGGCGCAGCCGCCCGGCAGCCTGCAGCTCTAGCTAATTGCTGCTCCAGCGTCCTGGGCTAGCGGCGCTGGCCACCAGCGCGAGCTGTCCGCGTGCTTCCCGAAATGTGCTGCCCTCCGGCGGGAACCACTCCCCTCCCGGGAGCCCCTTGCTCACTTGTTTTCCAGTGTCGCTTTTTTTTTTTTTTTTTTTTTTTTTTTTTTTTTTTTTTTATTTCTCCCGGCTCTCTTTGGCTGTGAAAATGGAGTTTGAAACCTGGCTTTTGTGTGTGTTTGCCTTCCTCCCCTCCAGGTCCCAGAAGCAGGGAAGAGGGCTGCAGAGAGGGAAAGAGAGAGAGAGAGAGAGAGAGAGAGAGAGAGAGAGAGAGAGAGAGAGAGAGAGAGAGAGAGAGAGAGTGTAGAGGATGCTCAGGGCGAACTCTCCCCCAACAGCAGATTATAAACTGATAGGAGCTAGAGTCGAAAAGGGAGACATAATGAGCTGCTTCGTTTCCTCCTCTCCTGCCAGCTTCCAAGGAGGTCTTGGGTTTTTAATGAATCATTGATTTCTCGCTTCCGTTGCTGAAGTAAAAAGTTCACACTTTGGCCCTCTCTGTCTTTTTAAGCTCAGGGAGATTTATCGTCACCCTTAAACATCGCCTCTCTCCTGGCGTAAATGAAATCAGGGACCCGAGTTACTGATTTCTAATTGCTAACATGAGTCCTTTACAGACTCACGCAACGGACTTCAAAGCCTAAGCACTTTCCTGCGATCGCAGATTTTATCACACAGTTTGACCAACTACCCTGTTTTCTTCTCTATGCAATTTCCTTCGCATGTTACCATAAAGAGGACGCCAACCCCCTCCGCCCCCCCATCTTCAAATTTAATGTTTAAAGGGCTCTGTTTTACAATGCAGCTTCACTACCTACCTACAATCTTCCACTCACACAGCAACCCCCAACTCTACTGCTGCTCACAGAAACCAGCTCTTAACCCAGAGGCAGGCAGAAGTCACTAGAAGACCAGGAAGCTGTTGCCCAGAAGCAAAAGGCACACGCACAGAAGGAAATACTGTGATAACCCGTTCCTGCCTAGTGTGGTAGATACAGTTAGTTCTGAGTTCCAGAGGAGCACTTCTTTTAGAAAATTCCTAAACTAGGGAACGACTGGCTGGAAGGAGGTTAGACATCTGTGTTCTGTCTAAGCAAAACAAATTGTCGATATCTTGCAGCTTTCCATTTAGGAAAGTGGCAATTTCACGTGGTTCAACCTAACAGGCTGAATAAGATGGCAGGCATTTCAAGGTGGACTTGAGAGTCAGACAACTACTACAGAAAGAAATTAACTAAAAGGAGTTTATACCTACAACCCAGGGACGCTGTCATGAACATTAGGTTTCAGTCTTCACTGGGAACCGGAGAAAGAAAATTAAAATTTAAAAGTCCTAGAGATAGGCATTGTTAATGATTGCCCAAATGCATTTTAGTGACTTGAAGAATGGCTTGAATGCATGGTCTTATATTTTTTTCTGTGTGTTCAGCGCCTTTGAAATAGAAATATTTAGTACCAGAATTGGGATTTTAATTGCATTATTTATAACTCATTGCAATGCTTATTCAAAAGATTTCGACAGTGTGACAAACATCACAGCAGATTTCTAACTTTAATATAATTAGCTGATTTCTGTAGCTATTAATTGAAAAGTTAGGCAAATAAAGAGCATGCGTCAAAGAAGTCTTACTTCTTTA